GGGGGGGAAGATGGGTGGGACTCAGAAAATCCCAGAATGGACAACCCTGCCCTGCCTTCTCTCCTTCCCATCCAGAACGTATTTTAAAATTGCCTATCCATGATTTGACTAATGTGTAATATTAAACTACTTGAAGGTGTTCGTATGAGTTTCTTTATCCTGATCCTATCGCATTGCACATTGACTTGAACTCTTAAGGGAAGAGGCCATATTTTTATTGTGTCTGTACGATACCTAGTTCAGTAAACTCCATTCCTTTGTTGGCACTACAGAATGATACAGTTCAAGTTCTTAAGGAAAGGAAGGAAGCAGAGAAGCAGAATAAAGACACTAGACTTCACTAAAGCAGTCTTTTACAAAGTTTGAATTGGTGGCCAGGATTCTGAGGGAGGCAAGTCTGAGAAGAAAAGAAGTCAGGAGAGCCTTTAACAGTACACAGGCATTTGGCAACCCCAATGTGAAGAAAGGACTGGAAGTGCAGAAGGAGACCTTGGTACCTGAAAGAAAAAAAAAATCATAGAGCAGGTCAAAGAGTCTATTGCTAAGCGCTGAAAGGAACAGCCAACATGGATTCATCAAGAGCAAGTCATGTTTGCAGGGCTAACTTTCTTTTATGACAAGGTGCTAGGCTTTGTGAATGGAGGAACAGCAGTGGATGTGAAATACCTCAACTCTACCAAGGTTTTTTATGTTTACACTGGCCATGTACAAGTACCACATTTCTACTGGGAGAACTGCTGCTTGTGGTAGAAACCACTAGCGTACAAATGTTTACACTGTTCTTTCCAGACCAGAAATGGAAGTTCCAGAAGAAACATAACCCAACTCTAAGTAGAACTTTCTCCTGGGGAGAATGAATGCTTGTACACTTTCCATGGTATCACTTCTCCCTGGGACTATGAGGAATTGGGCTGTGAGTAAAGGCTCCTGTACCTTGTTAGCAGACACCAGGGTTACCCTGGTCTGGGGAGGCATAAGGGACAGCTACTCCTGCCCCCGCCATAGACTAGGAGGGAATGGGAAGGGTAGCCACCAGATGCTCCCTGCCAGCTCCTCACACATGGTGGGTTCCAGAGTGAGAAGCAGTGGGGGCTTTGTCCCACTGCTCTAAGTCTCCCCTGGTAACAGGATGAGTGGAGCAGCTGTTGCTCCCCATCTTTCCCCAGACTGAAATTGCTTTCGTCTCTGGAAGGTGCAAGGAGCAGCATAGAAGCAGGGATTGCAAGCTCAACCCCTGCACTGTCCCCTATCCTGGAATAATTTCAAAAGCTTGATATGAAACACCATAATATGCAAGACCAGTAAGTCAAAACAATTCCAAAAATGATAAAATGCTTTTCAAATTAAAAGCTAAAAATACCAGAAAGCTTCCTTCCAGTATCATTTCTATTATTTTGTATGTCTTTATTCAGATATCAGTAAGAACATGATACATTCTACCACCAATGGGGATACAGTAAGTTATTACAGTTGTCTAAAAAGAGGTGAAAAATTAGCACTGAAAGGCTTTCTTTTGTTCAGCAGCAGGAGATACACAGAGACAGAATAGGGCAGAAAGATGATGTTGAAAGGAAAAGATTGAATTGCTCAATATTTTATTTAAACTAGCAATAGGTCTTGTAGTTAATGAAGAAATGCACTTACATTCTGAACACACAGTTTGATTGAATTGATTGAATAATATGGTTGGTAACACACAGAACAGCTGCAGTAGAAAGAAAGCTATAATAAAAAGATTGCCACACATGCATTAGATGGGAGGTACAATAAAAACCCTAAGGTGCTGTAAATATTGTAATGTGCAGGATAATAAAAAATGATGCTCCATCAACTCCTTTTTTATATTTCATTCTTATTGAACAGAGTAGAAAATAATTATGTGAAAACAGCACTTACAGAATAAAATTAATCAAAATGATTAGTTTACAGTAGAAACAAATAATTCTACTTATTTTGATTGCTTTAGATAATGGGCATACACTGCAGAAAAATCAATTGGAAATAGTATATTGCACACATGCAAAGAATAACTGTTTTGTCTCACGCATTATAATTAAGCATCATTTTCACATGTACACAACTTTCCAGGAAGTGCACATTTAGAATTAGTCCAGGATCCCTTCCTGCAAAGAGTATGGGGGGTAAAGAAGGAAGGGATGTATGGTAAAGGTGAGGGGGAAATGAGCAATATTGCTGCTAAAGGCTAAGAACACTGCAAAAAAGATTTGCTTCTCTAAAAAAATAAATATCTAGTGACAAATATAGAAAGGAAAATAAAAAAAATGCAACAGAAATATCTATGTTATCAGAGAAAACTTTCTTTTAGAATCCCTTCACTTTTAGTCATATCACTTGCAATACCAATTGTGTTAAATTGCAATTTGCAGTAAATTTCCTAATATCTTTTTTAAATAAAAAAGGGGTAGGGGAGGAGGAGAAAACAAATAGAAAAGTAAGGCTTGCTAAGTTCCTTACCTCAACACTCAACAAAAAGTATTGGTGTCGGGGAAGGTTATACTTGTGCTCAATCCTCTAACTAGCTTGACATCAGTTATAGGTAAATAATGATTTCATTTTAAAAGAAGAACTTGAAGCCATTTGAATATTGTGTAATAAATATTTTCTATGGAAATGTGAATGAGTCAGAATGTATTTCAGTATGAAAATATGGAGAGACGTAGTTAGCTAAATTAGTCTGAAATTAGAGTGGGCAGGGGGCACCTTATATGGTAGAGGTTGGCAACACATAGCCAGCAAGCTAAGTCCAGCCCACAGAGCCACTGGATCCAGCTTGCAAAGCCACACGGCTTTGCCTATCCCTGTACCCCAAGCTAAGTAGAAAGGAGCCGTTTCAGTTGCTGGGCAACTTCCAACCGCATCCTTTCCACCACTGCTTCTTCTCCCCATTCCCAAGCCTCCCCTAAGCTCTGGTGCGGACATAACTTCCTACTGGAGGGAACATGCATTGAGGAAAAGCATCTGGAACCTGTGTCCATATTACTGGAGCTTCTTCCTTCCCACTTTTCCCCCAAATATCTTCTCTGCGGCACAGAAGCGACAGCAGCAAGGACACGCCCAGCCTAAGTGTAGCACCTCACTGGCTAGAAGCTGTGCCTGTGCCCCAGATCAGGAGTGGGAGACTGGGAGAAGTGAATTTGTCACAGTTCCCACCCTGGTCCCAGCACAGGTATGGGGAAATCCTGCAACACTGACAAATCTC